AGGGGACACGGAGGCCGGGCTGTTTTTTTTTTTTTCCCTTTCCAAGCCACTTGTCCTGTCGCACACACCCAGAGCTCTACCAGCGCCCCGCTCTGTCTCACGGAAACGGCAGATGCCCACGGAATCCAAGAAGAAGAAAGTCTTTTATTGTCTTCAGAGCGGCGGCGGTAGGGCTGGGGACCCCAGGGCCACGCAGGTGGGACCTCCCTGAACCCGGTTGTAGAGGAGGACGGCGCCTTTGGCCGAGGGGCAGAGCTCAGCCCACATCTCGGTCTCCTGCAGTCTCCGCACGTCCTGGGGGGCGACAGGGACACCAGGCATCCATTCGTGACCCCGTCTCCTGCCCAGAATCCTGAACCTCCGAGCCCTCTGCCCTGCACTGTCTCTAGGAAGATATGCTAAGGGGCCGGAGCAGGTCCCTGGACCTTGCCCTTGGACTGGGGGCAAGTCTGTGACTGACCCCACCACCTCTCCCCCAAGACATGCATCACCAGGCCTCTCTTCAGCTCTCAGCTTGGGTGTCCAAGCAGGATGCCGCTTGTCCCCCCGCACCTGCGTCTCCACAAAGATGATCCCCGTCGACTCATGGGCCTCGGGCCCCCCGCTCAGGTAGTGCTTCCTCACCTGCTCAGAAGTCAGGCTGCACCTGGGTGAGAACACGAGGGTGGCTTGGTGGCCTCAGCCCCGCCCCTCGCCACCCACCGCCCGAGAGCCCGCCCACTCACCGGACGAAGAACTCGGCACTGGCTCGGCCGGCGCTGGTCTCGTTGCGGGCGATGCCCAGGAGCAGGGGCTGGCTCAGGGTGGGCAGCGGCAGGTTCACCTGGGCCAGGGATCCCACCCGTCAGCGCCCACCACCCACATCCCTGCCCCCCCGCACAGGGTGTTGAGAGCGAGAATGCCACTCCAGGTGTGTCCTGCTGCAATGCTGAGCTCTTCTTCCCTCAAGGCCAGCCAGGTGCTTGCAGACCCTCCCGTGCCAGGTCAGACCTGTGGAGTCCTGGAAAGTTCTCCCCCTCCTTCAGGCCCGTCCCACTGTCTGGGTCACCCTCACTCACCTCGTCACAGATCTCCTGCAGGACGCTGGAGAAGAGCTCACACACCACCAGCTCCCCAGGGAGGTCCTGGTGCTTTGGGCTGTCCCGGGGGCACAGGGCCTGGGAAGGTCAGGCTCAGACCCTGCTGTCCGCCTCTTCCCACCCTGCCTTCCCATGTGCTTGCCAGCCCTGCGGGCCTGGCATGGGCACAGTGTAAAGGTCTTGGTGATCCCCTCGCCCAGGCCATCTTTCTGCAGAAGGACAACCAGCAGCCCAGCTAGGAAGGGGTCACAGAGGGGGGTTGACTGGGGCAGGGCATTTTCTGCCCGTCTCCCCCCACCCTGGTGTTTTCTGGCTTGCCACGGGTCTGGGGCAGGGTCAGTGGGCAGGCTGCAGGGCTGCCCTGAGCAAACACGCAGAGAAACGCTAGGCCCAGTTTCCCTTTAAGGGATGAGGAAACCAAAGCTGGGAGGGCCGAGAGCTGCAGCTCCTCTGAGCGGCCTGGGTCTTTGCGCCCAGCCTGGCCTCTCACCTGAGGCTCGGGGTGCCCGCCAGGCACGTCCACCAGCCCAGGGGCCTCAGCCACCTGCCGGGACCGGCGCAGGAAGACCAGGAAGCCGTCGGCTGTGGCCAGCGCGGCCCCCACTCCCAGGGGGTCTGCCAGATAGGCCTGCTGGTCGCCCCAGTCAGCCGTGCCCTGCCGCCGCAGCCAGGCGGCCGAGCGCGCCCAGTTGGTGCCCAGGAAGTCCCGATAGGAGGTGAGGCCCAGGCGCAGAAGCAGCCGGGGCCCCGTTGAGCCCCCCGGCGCCAAGGTGGCCGAGTGCAGGCGGAACTTGGGGGCGTCGAAGAGCCAGGGCTGAGCCCGGAGCCGCGTCGCCCAGATGGCGGCGATGGCCTCGTCCCCCCCGGGGAGCGGGCGGCGGTCGTGGGCCGGGCTCAGCTCGGCCCGCACCTGCTCTCGGGGCAGCCCCCCGGGAGGGCACTGCAGCAGCAGGGTCACCTCGGGGTCCATCGTGGGGACAGCGCCGCTCTGGGGGAAGACCCGGTCGGGCTGTCACCCCGGGGCCCGCGGCTGCCGCCCCGATGTCACAGACCCCCCACGCCTTGGGCAGCAAAGTGTTGTGCCACCCCACCGGGCATCGCCCCCCGAGGGCCTGGTTCGGGTCCGCAGGGGCCCCGTGCCCCGAGCCAGGGCTGCGCCTCCGACCGGGGACC